ATGCTCTGTCCTACACATTGGTAAAAAAAAAATCAGTACACCAAATTCAAACTAGGCAGATATGACCTTGTTGATGATCGTCACTCTATCAAGGACCTTGGAGTACTCAAATCAATGACCTAAGCACCAGAGATCACTGTAACAGCATTGCCAGAAAGCCATTAAGAGTTGTAAATCTAATCTTACGAAGCTTCTTCTTTGGAAATATTGAATTGCTAACTAAAGCATACAAAACTTTTGCTATACGAATACTTGAATACAGCTCATCAGTCTGGAATCCGCACTGTATATCTGACATTAATACAATTGAGTGAGTCCAGAAGTATTTCACCAGAGGAGTACTACACTCCTCTGCTCGCAACAGAATGCCCTATATCACCAGGCTTGAGATTTTGGGCTTGGACAACCTGGAATTATGCCGCCTATGGATGAACTTAAGTGTAGCACACAAAATTATCTACTACAATGTCCTACCAGTCAATGACTATTTCAGCTTCAACCACAACAATACAAGAGCACACAACAGATACAAACTCAATGTAAACCACTCCAAATTTGATTGCAGAAAGTATGACTTCAGCAACAGAGTGGTCAATGCCTGGAATGTAATACCTGACTCTGATGTTACATCCTCTAACCTAGAGGTTCCCAAACTTTTTCAATCCACTGCCCCCTTTGTGCTACAAACTCATCCTCAGTGCCCCCCACCCAGAAGTGGGATTTAAATTTCTGTGGGTGTGGCCTAATTTGAGGGCGTGGGTTGCTGGTCACGTGACTGGGTAGGCGTGGGTTGCTGGTCATGTGACTGGCTGGCGTGGGTTGCTGGCTGGGCATGGGTTGCTGGTCACATGACCGGATAGGTGTGGTTTGGTGGTCATGTGACTGGGTGGGTGTGACCAGGGGACTGGCAAACCAAATACAAGTGGTCCTCACTTAATGGCCAGTTGCTTAGCATGTGTTCTAATTTATGACTGGCCAGAGCTATATGACCTGTTTTTGGAGTTTTGACAACCATGCACACACATACACACACACTCCCTTCTAACCCTGCTGGAGCAGGTCATTGGACTAGAATCGGCAAAGCATCTCTGATTAGATTCTAGTAGTGAATAAAATCTAATCAGAGATACTTTGCCGATTCTTGTTGATTTGTTTTATTTTTATTTCTTTAATGTTGCTGAATTGCATTGACATGTGTGTCTCTTCTTGTGCACAACCCAGAAGCTTTTGTGATTCTTTGCAGCAAAAATTACCGACCTCTGGCTTTGCTCGACTTTTCAACGCGTTTTAGGTGCCAGCCCCGCAGGTCCACCCCATTGAGCCTGCTGCACCAAAGGGACCTGCCCTCCAAGCGAAGCAGTGCACCAAGTCAATGGGATGAGCCTGAGAGAGGGAAAGAGAGAGAGAAAAGAAAGAGAGAAAGAGAGAAGGAAGAAAAGAAAGAGAAAGGGGAAAGAAAGAAAAAGGGACAGATGAAGAAAGAAGAGGGGATGGAAGGAAAGGACAGAAAGAAAAAGAAATAAAGGAGGGAGGGAGGGAGGAGAAAGATAATGAGATATCTATTCTAGTCCAATCACCTGCTCCAGCAGGGTTAGAAGGGAGTGTGTGTTTGTGTGTGTGTTCTCCTTGTAATTTACCAGTACATTTTGGTTTTGCCTTCTTCAGAATTGGCACTTTAAAACATTGGGGAAAAGTATTTTTTTAGGGTGGAGATCTGGTCCAATGGATCCTGTTTAAAGCCTCAATAAAATGTGAGAGCTTCCTGATAATCTTGACCATGTTTCGTCCACAAAATATTTAATAGAAGCCAAAGATGTTTCAATGTGCTGGCAAAGATGTTTCAGTGTGGAAAAGGGCCTCAGTCTAAACTAGGCCTCATTTCAATCTGATGCA